TTGATGTTAGTGTACATATAAAACAAGTCAAGGCCTGCAGTACTGCGGTGTTTCCTGAACTGATTGTGTAGGAAGTGTTTCTGTATGTTGCAGCTTCTTATAAACATGTTCTGTGGTTTGTTACATATATATTCACATCCTTTGGTGGGATTAAATTATTAAGATTTGACGGCCCAATTGTTTATGTCAGAAGTCAAAGCAGTACTGGATTAAAATCAGGTATGCCGAAATAATAACAAAGGGGTGATTTTGATTAAATAATTCTGTTAATTTGGTGTAGCAGGAGTAAAGTCTAATGTGTGTAGCATAAAAGAGATTTTGTCTTTATCATTTTGTATTTTAATAGAGAGATTAAAAAACATCTTCCAGTATTTTAATAACATTTAGCAGAATTTTATTTTTGTTGGAAACAGAGAAAGAGAGTTGAAATTGAGAATATTAATAGGGAAAAAAGAAAATGGTAATTTGGAGAGAGAGAAAGAAAGAGAGATGAAAGAAACCAAAAAAAAACAATGTAACAAAAATTGAAGGATTTTTGAGAAATAATTTTTGAAGGAGGAAATTTTAAAGGGAGAGAGAGAGAGAGGGAGACAGAGAGAGATATCTTCAACAGTAAATAAGAGTTATTAATAGAATTTCTTGTATCAATTATCAAACTATTTTCATGCATGCATATATTTTCTCAGACTCTAGCTGACCTGACATGTTTTTATTTATTTCCTTATTTTATTTTCTAAAAAGAACAACTCTAACTATCATCATTACCAAATTTAGATGCAACAAAATCAATAATGATGCCATGAATGGATTATTTCTGCTACTTTAAATGAACCAGTCACTTTATTTCCAAACGTAGAGCATGCAATCAAAGACTGGGAAGCCTAAAATAGGAGAAGTTTTGTCAGGTTTTTGTAACTGATAAAGAAAATAACCTCCAAGAATCCAATAGATGATAAAGATGCTCCTTCACTCTGATGTTTTCTCATGGGTCATGATGAGGCGCAACAAGCTATAAGGTCTAAGACATTGATTTTGGTTGTTTTGCTAGAGGATATGAAAAGGTCCGTGTAATCCTTTTTCTAAGGGATCTCAGATCTACCAATTTTTTCCCTTAATTAGTTTTTTTTTCTCAGTCACAATGGTAATAAGAAAATTATATCAAGTGACAATTTTAGTTGATCAGTTACATTTTGGTAATATTTTTATTCTTATGTTAGCATATTATTGTACTTCTATGAAGTAGGATTCAATAGGATAGTATGAAATTACATGTACTTATCATTTTAAAATACTCAAACAGAATTTAGAGGTTGATCTCTATCTATGGGTCAATATTTGAGTTGATACAGCAAAATTTTGTGCTGTCTTATCAAATATATTCATAATGGATTTTGGTTCATTTTTAGCAAGCCCCGTCATCGATTAGCAGAATTAATTGAAAAATTTCCTGACGAAATAATATTACATGTCTAGTAATGATGAATGAGCCGAAACCCGTCTGTCCGAATTAACAGTATCAGTTCCCAATACACTGATGTTGCTGTCGGGAAAACCCGTGATTTCTCAGGTCCATACAAAGTACCATTTCTATTCCACACAGATTATGTTCTTTGGACTAGTATAGTTAAAAATTACGGAGACTTGATTAAAGTATGGTGGTCTAAAGAGTTGATATTGCCGATCATTCAATTAACTATTCAATAGCTTCCTTTACATTTAATAAAATTAATAATTCATTTTATAGGCAATAAAAGTCTTAGATTTTTTTTAAGTGTGTGTCTAGGTTAAACAGGGCCCTATAAATATGCATTTACGAGTGATTTTTTTTCATTTCGTTTACAAGCATGTTTAAATCTCCAGCTTTGGATTACCCTGGTTGCATTTGCGTCAGAGCAGTTCAGATTTATAATTTAATGTAGGGTCATTTTTTGCTTCATCGCTTTCATGTAAGTGACAATTTTCTTCATTTTGTAGAGTTAATTTGGTAAATATTCTTGGCTAATGGAAACATGGCTAATCATGTAGTCTCTTTCTTTGTCAATATTTAAGTTTGAAGAAGCAGATTTACTTTCATGACTCACTAAGAATAGCCTTCATTAATAGTATATATGTGGACAAGAGATTAAATTCCATGCATCTTGAAGGATCCAGCATTAATTGATTTTTTTTTCCTTCTGAAGGATTCTGGTAAAGATTTTTCATTTTTTCTCTTAATAATGGGATACTCATCTTAGCTTGAAAGGAGAAAACTGCTATGGGCTATTTTCTTAATGACTTCATATGGATTTTTCATGAGCGTGTCTTTTGTAGTGTATATGCAGACCTTTTTGGGTATATGTGTATGTTTATATGTATAGTTGTGCCGTTTAATTGCAGTTTATTAAATGTGGTCAGAAATTTGTTGGCTATATAAAGATTTACTATGTTTACATTTTATTCCTATTACCAGATTTAATTAAGCAAAAATAAAATAAGCTTGCGGAAAGTGTATTTGCTCTGTGTAATGACTTTCTAGATCGACTAGGAAACTTTAATTTCCTGAGGCCCTAGGAAAAGGTCTTTACTCTGGTGCAGACCTATCAGTTACCTGCTGAGGAAACTCAGATCAGAAATTAATTAATAAAAAAGTGAATGTGAAACCTTCAGAATCAGAATGCTGGTCTTTGATGTTTGCAGAAGACCTGAAGAACATGGGGTTTTTAATTTCTTGTCTTTGTCTTCACTGTCTCTTAGTACAGAATCAATCTACAGCCAACTACAGTAAAACATGCTTATAGCAAACACCCTTATAATGAATTGATGCTTACAGCGAAGTGATTTTCATTCCCCGTGATTTTAAAATTTATTGTGAACTTATTGGATATAATGAATTACATTTAAAATGAGTCAAAATTGTCTTGTTTTACTGTATTGATTAAAAGTGCCTAAAATGTGTACATCATATTTTTTGCTAGCTAACATCTTCCCCTCCTCAAACAGATGAAGTATGGCATTAAGAGGGGTACTGGTCCATCTGTCAGTCTAGTTTTTGTCTGTCCCTTAATTAAGACATTTTTTGTTTGACAATTATCTCTGAAAGTATTCAATGTATTTTCCTCAAACTTTGTAGAAATGTTATCTTTTCTTTAAATACATGCAGCACCTTGTATTTGCAGATTGATTTGTCAAAAAGAGTTTTAGGTTTTTAGGTTTCATTTACATTACTTCATTGACAACATTTTTGTCTAGGACACCACTTTAGAAATTTGAAGCTCATACTTTGTTCAAAAGTTGCTTGTAACCAGAAATATGTGTATTGACCTAGCTAAACCAGTCATTTACCATCAAGAACAAGACAAAGGATCTTTGGAATATTAAATTCTAAGATGTAGAAGAAACACACAGCTTGCCCATAACCAGGAGCTCTTTTATGATTTTAAGTATGCCAAGGCCATTTGGATAAGGTCAAGGTCAAATGGCTCAGAATTTGAAATCTTGCTTGGGCTATGACTTTTTTAATGCTTGGATTATGGAAGCTTATATACTTTTATACTTGCAATATAAAAATAGGGGGTATTACACTATTATACATATTGGATCTTCATGACCAGAGATGAGGGGTAATAGAACCATCAACAAATTCCTTTTCAAGAAGGTTGAGGCCACAAGGCTTTGCAGTATATATAGGGGGATTACTCCATTAGGACAGTTCTAGTTTCTCTTTGATTGTCTGTGAACGTAGGAGAGAAAATTAATATTGATTTCAATTCATGTAATTACAATGTAATTGATTTGTATAATTACAAATGTGTTTTTTGATTGATTTTCTAAAGTACATGTACTACTTTATGCACTAGTAAAATTGCTTGTCGAGACATGTTGGCCTTCTAGCTAAATGTAAAACCTAAATATAGTCATATCTCAATTAACTGAACTAATCTATTTAAAACTTTAAGAACAGCTGTACCTATTTTTCATTTATTATCTGAAAAAGAGAAAGAGAGACTGAGTTGTATGATTTAGGTTTTGCTTATAATTCATTGTCTGACAATTATAGGCAAAACCCTTCCGAACATATTTCAGCCATTATTATTTTACACTGATTAGTCAGTCGCTAATTGACAGCAGTAGAGTTGTAATTGACACTCGGTGTAAGAAATGGAGAGAGAAATGCAGCAATTTGCTACTGAATTCGAATCCTTGCTGAGAACTCATATAGCTTACCCCTGAACACTTTACGCTGATAAGTTTGGAATATGATTTATAGTCTGTGTCACTATGTCTTTTTTTTTTCAGGTTAACATAGTTATGACCATGATAACAAATCATTTTCAATGTCTGTGTTTTTGTAAAAAATGTTGACAAAGAGCTATAAAAGTGGAAAGTGAGCTGCATATTTTCTCAGCTTTAGCAAGATATCGGTAAATGCTGAATTTGAATGCAGGAGTATTTCAAAACCTGTGAAAGAACAGCCCTGGATTTTTTTAATGAAAATGAAAGCTCCTTAAATGAAATCTAAACTGTAATAGGTTTTCTATAAGTTTTCTGATATACAGTAAGACTTGTCTAATCTGAATACCACTGGTTCCAAAGATTCTGAAATTTCGAGACAGTTAAACTAATAAAACTTAATGAAGAGGACTAAAATTAACATTGTTGTAGTCAAGATTTCGGAATACACAACATCCTGATTAGACAAGTTTTACTGTAAATGTATCTCTAAAAATGTTATCGTTTAGAATTTCCTGTTTTGGATTATATGCTTGTGCATGTGGACTAGGTAAAGTTTCTGCTCATATACTTGATTTATCAGGAATGTAAAGTTTTGGAATGGTTTGGTTCAACAGATAGCGTAAAAGAGAAAAGAAAATTTATGCAGATTTTAAGAACATTGGTGGCTTGTCTGATGTATAGAACTAAATTTTATGAGAGATTCAAATCTAAGGGACTTTATGAGGTGATAAAATTGCTTTGACCAAATCTGATTACACACATTTTGAATTTTATGTATTTTTTTTTAGAAGGAGGAAAACAAGTACAGATCTCAATGAAACTAAGCACAGGTCAGGAATCTGGAAACCCCCCAGACCAAACGAACCCACCCAGCAAAATGATGGACACCATGGATAAGACGTCGGCCAAAGAGAAGAAGGACAACTTTGAGATCGAGGTTGCTGACGAGCACGGCAAAGCAGGGCAGGTGGAGATTGATTCTCCCGAGGAGGAACTTCAAGAACGTACGTATATATCCTCATAACAGGTCCTCCACGACTCAGGCTTCTACTAGCATATTAATCAGGCTTGCTGTTATATTTTTGTGTTTTAATGTTTTTTAAAAAATTTAATTTTTAACTTATTATAACCAACTACATGTGAATTGTATTGTGTTTTTGATATCATATAAATGTTTTAATTAGGCATACAATCATCTGCATACTTGTAGGATCAAAAGGGTACAAAAACAGAGTAGGATAAGAATTTGGTACTTAATTTTCAGCTTTTTTTAAAAATCATTAGGGATCACTTAATAAAGACGAATGATCTAATTTGAGGTTCGTACTAAAAAGAAAGCAAACAAAGGAATTTCATTTATTATTTTCTTTTAGGATTTTCTAATGTTTCATGTTTTTTAAAATTTATATGATGGACTGTCAGTTTTAATGGATAGAAGAAGCTAAAATTAACCCAATGTAGTCGTAAAAATTTATCACCCATGAAACGGTTTCATGGTACAGAATGTTTCAAAAGAAGTTTTTATGCACTGTTGTTTGGATGTCAATCAGTGCTGCACTCCTCTGACTTCAGAGAATTTCTGAGAGATAGGGATAAAGTGAAAAATAAGATCTTGTACGTAATATAATTGTCCTTGTACCACTATCCCCTTGATCTTCTTTCAGGCAGAAGTCAGTGTTAATGTGTTCTGTTCAAGATCATTGCTCCGTTATTGTTTTATTTCGACTCAAACTGACAAATTAAACATTTTTGACAGGCCATCTCAGTTTAGAAGATAGGGTGAATTATCTTGTGTATATTTCCTGATAAAAATGTAGGTAAGGCATTCACCTTTACTGCGAACAACAAATTTTTATTTCATTTGTAAGAGTGATATGAATCTTTAAAAGGCTATAGCTACCATAATCGTATTTTCATGGATTGGATTTCTTTCTTCAATCAGAAAAAAAAATATTAAAATCAAAACTATAGGTACTTGTACTTATTTCAGAGTTTGCAAGAGAATATGCCTGTACCTGGCTGCAAATCTAAGGTGCAAACAAATAATTGGTAATAATTTTAATTGGAAAAATCAAATTGGTATATAAAGGGTGTGGCTTTATTACGAGCTTAGTAAGTCGGGATAAAGTTAAACAAATAATAATTACACATCAAACAGATAGAGGTTAGGATTAACTTAAAATAATTCTGCATCAAAGATATCAACTTTTTTTTTTTTTTTTTTTTTTTTTTTTATAAATGTTCTACATTTTGTTACACAACATGATACCTCAGTAAATGTACCATTTTTTGCAAGATTGAAACAGAAGACAATTAATACATTTTCCTGATCAATGGGTTAGGCCGTCAAGGGCGGAAAAACAGCAGCAGAGGAAATTAGTCTTCAAGAACTTAAGTAGACAGAAGTCGTGGAAACAGGCAGTAATGATATCTGCTGCTATTTCCAGAAAATGTCTATGCAACAAGGAAATGAGGAATTACAACTGCTTTCAATGTAAAAATAAAAAATGCATACTGCACATTTTGCTGAAAAGATATTGCTGGAGAAAATTTTTAGTGTGTTTGTAGCAGGTGCTCTAGGTATATTGGTACCTAGTATACATATAGGTATTGGTAATTGCAGAAAATTGTCTTTCATTGATTCATATGGCAGTATCTCTCTATGTAGTCTGTAATTCCCTTACAAAAGGTTCTTGGTACCTTGGTACTGAAGTTAATTGTCTGGGCTTGAAGGTCATGTAGGGATAGAAGTCTGGTGAAATTTGATTCTATATATCCCAATCTCTCCTCTCTTTTAGCCACGCCCATTAAAGGCAATGTCCGTAAGACTTCAATAAGTGAGAAAGTGGAAAGGACGAGAATGTCTCAAGCCTACATAGAAACCATCAAGGTAATCAACAGTTCTCTCCCCTTACTTTTGTAGCCTCTAATTGTCTCCCCTTTTACTAACCAGTAAGCTCTCAGCAAAGCAGTAGCATGTTTTGTATAGTAAAATTATGTTACCCTAAATGGAAAGCATGTTATGATAAACATTTGGTTAAAAACTTTATAGAATTGATTTTTTTTTTTTTTTTTTTTTTTTGCAAGTCCAGCATGATTGCTTTTGTTTTCTGCATGTAGATACTGTAATTTTTATTTTAGCTACCACGAGGACTCATAGTTCAGTATCTTGCATGTTAATGTTTTTTTTTTTGTATCTGCTTCCCTTTATTAGAAGTCAATGCTTCACTTCTTCTACTTTTATCTCCTTTTTTTTTCCATTTACGTCATGGCTAACATTATTGCCTTATAGGTAAACGGATCATCAACTCAATAATAAGAAATAGTTTGTACAGGCAAAACATATCGAATGGCTACAGTAGACAGACGTCATGTTACATAATTGTCTCCTTAGAAATAAACACACTTAGGTTTCAATGGATGGATTTGCCTGGATTTACAATTGTGTACCTTTAATAAATTGTACTGATTGGAGGAAAAGCCCTGTTACATACTTAAAATCTGCCAAAAATTCCTTCTGTGGACAAACTTGTCTACTTAACAACTGAATGTTGTATATAGTTTAGACATTATTACAAGCATTTCTAAATTTACTATTAAGCATTAATTTTAATCTTTGGTGAAATGGCATTCTACCCTCCGTTTGTTAGTAAACAAATTTATAACAACAGCCTTGAACATGGTTTAATATTGAGTATGGGTGGACTATTAATCCACAAATCAGCTTTGTGAAATCCTCACTCTAAAAAGGGCAATTGAACTGGTCAAATAAAATTTTTACAAATATGAAAGGAATGGATGTCCATGCCTTTTTTTTTTGTCTATCAAATTAGAAATACTGGTATGTTTTGGAAATAAAATTTAGATTCCATATACCTTTGACCAAAGTTAATTCATTTCCCCTGGGTAAAAGATTGGTGTCAAGGTTAGGGCTTGTGAAAATACAAAAACCAATTTTCATTGTTTCCAGAAATTTTGAAAAACTATCACTATTCCCCCACCTTCTGTATATAAGACTGTTAAGGTCACTAACATTGTTCACAGATTTTAATCAAATCTCATTGATGATATCCTGAAAAAGATAGAAATAAAAGAAAAATATTTTCTATGCTGAGACCCTGACTGTCATTTAAATGAAGTCAAGGTCATCAGATATGAAAGTATGAGGTTTTTTGTCTGCGACAATTGTGAAATGTTTCCAAAACAGATTTCGGTGTCCATTGCCACGTTGTGCAATTCTTCTTACTCAAGGTCTCTTTAATTGTAGAAAAGCATGAATATGATCACATTAGGCCATGAGTTTGATACCATAAACTACAATTTATCAAAGCAGTCACTTATCTGTGAGTCAGTATTTCTTAAAATTGATGCTGCATATACACTACAGTCAACGCGGTTTCCGTATTTACCGCGAGTCCTCGCGGTGTGAAATTGATCGCGGTTTAACACAGGTAACTCAGGTAAAACCGCGTGTTCTCGCGGTACGGGTCCTCAACTAATCCACACCATCGCGGTTGCGTTATCCGTCTCAGGTGAAAAAATTATTCTCTTCATAAACGCGAGTTACCTCCCCCGACGAGAAAAAAAAAAAAAACAGTTCAGAGAAGAAAAAAAAAAATTAAAAGGATAAAACCAGTCTTAGCAGTTATTTAGGTCTCCTTTTTATATTTGATTAATTTATCTTTTTATTTAACGCCTCTTTCAAAAATAAAAAAAGAAAGAAAAGGAAAGGAAGAATGTATGATATGGAGACAACTAAATATACAATGTATATATACGTGTATATATTGTGTGTTCATTTATTGTTCTTAACTTATCCGTAATTATACATATGCATTAATTTTGTAGATCACAGTTATTGATCATCCGATAACTCAATGATTTAATTGTCAATTGAAAACAACTTTTCCTTCATTTAACCATTTTAAATAAGTAAAATAGTAGCAATATTAAAAAAAGGCGCTCAGAATAAAATCTTCAAAGGAATGGATATTTTTTCTGTATTCCTTATTCGTAATTCAAGTTTCCTTGAAAATTTTAAACTTGAGAAAGTACGTACAACATGTATACTAGACTTTTTCATGACTTCTAATCTAGTGCGCTTTGTACGGTATTTATACAGGTATATTACAAACAAACTGATTCGGGTGTAAAATATCATTTAAAAAATATATATCCTGTCTATAAATATTATCATTCAAACTTTAATTTACTTTAGATACATGTTTATTCGTAAATAGCAAGCTTCACCCTACCGGGTATTTTGATCTGAAAATTTAATGAATTTTCGGTCCATAATCAACTGATAATTCAAAAAATCAAAAACTGATTCAAAGTTAGTTTAAGTTTTCATTCGTTGATTGTTTTCTAGTGACGGTTACCCTAGTGACTGCCTTCCCATGCTCTGGGCATCACACCTTATCTTCATGCATGTGATACCCCTCCTTGAATTTACGGGTTTTTTTTTTTTTTTGTTTTGTTTTGTTTGTTTTTTAAATTATTTACATTCAATTACAGGCAAAAACTTTATTAATTGCTCAGAGGATGTTACAGCATGTGCAAATATGCAACATTCGATTTTGGAATTTAATTTACACTGATAAAATACAATTGGAACAGAAGGTTCTATGTGCCCCCGGGCTAGATTCGAGTTTGTAGTACGCACAGTCAAAACCTTGGCACTGACACAGACAGGAAGTGTTATGTAATACATATACACATACCTCTGCACAACAATAGATTAGATGTGATTTACCTGTATTGTATACCTGGACATGCAAAATTTTGCATTCATATTGAATAGGAGTCTGCTTCGTAAAACTTGAAATACATCGCAAACTATAAAATAATTTGTCCATTCTATAAGTAGCAAATTATTTTATACAGAATTTTCCATTCATTCAATACAACATTAAATTCTCAGCAACTATTAGAAAAATGAAATTTCATTCAGAAATCCTCCAGAATTTGAAAGTTTGAACAAACAGCAAGTGTTGTGCATTAATATGATATAGAAAAATAGATTTAATAAGTATCTCATATTCACATATCGACAACGATAGGAGAAGGGGGGGGGGGGGCTGGTTTTAATCAGACTGTTCATATTTACTGATTATTTTCTTAAGATATGCTATGTACATTTTGGGCATTTATGAAGTGTGTTGATTAAATAAATATATACAGTATAGTGTAAACATATACATACAGACAAGTTTCCTGAAATGTGCCTCGCCGTTTATTTTAGATTTTTATTCTTACCCCCCCCCCCCTCCTCCCACACACACTGCAAACTAATTCTCATGTTTCTCTACCCAAAATTAAAGTGTGTAATTTAACATCCATTCCCTTAAATGATTTAAAAGTTTCAGTTTCGTGAAACCTTTCTCTTTGGTTTCAATAATTACTCTGACAGTCCCAAGTTTTTGAAGATCGCCGACCTATAAAAAAAGAAGACTTTTAGTGTTATTATTTTTTTTAAATTCTTTATAAGAGTTTAACGATATTTTTGTGATTTCAGGATTGCGTTTCATCAGTTGATATAACCTACAGTACATGTATGATGGGTGATCAAAGTGTCAAGAACAGCTACTGAAATATGGTCATGCAGTTTTTACAGCTTGAAAACACGGTTATCGTAAAAGGGCTTGATCATCTCGTGAATTTTCCGAGAACCCATAGTCTTATTGTGGGCGACCGATAGGATTTGCTACCTGTACGCCCCACTGCACACGCTGTGATTGTGTAATACATGTACACGTGTTTGGTCAGTTTCAACTTATTTAGTTCATGATCGACTTCTCTGCTTAATTATCAGTTGAGAACGCAACCATTTAATTCTTTTAGTTTTATAAAAATGACTAATGTCGACTTCATTTAGAATATATGAACATGATGAACAGAGCTGGGTTTTTTTTTCATTCAGGCCCATAATTCTAACGAATTAGGTGGTGATCAATATCGTTAATTCAAATATTCGGGATTATTGTAAATAAATAATATTTGAACATGTTGGAAGAGGTATTTTGGCGTGATATTTTGTGTTTTCATTGTATTTTTTTTTCCAGTGATATACACAATGCAATTTTAATTCGAAAAAAAAAACTGCAGTAATACTGTATGAAAAACTATTATGATGAAAAAAGGGCGTAATATAAATCGGATCGATATTTACTACAATAAAAAAAATTACGTTGATTTATAGATCTCCTCAATATAATTCAGGTTACTTATTAGAAACTACAATAATGATAATATTTTAATAGAATAAATGCCAAGTATCATTCAAATATCACCCTTAAGACTAAAAAAAAAAAAAAAAAGATTTTATAAATTATTTCGATAATTTTAAAGCTACATATGGCGTATCTGAGCTAAAAAATAAAAATTCGAGATTGTTTTAAATTTCTAATATCTATGAAACGCGATCGATTTAAATAAAATTGCGTAATTTACAGGAAAGTCCTATCTTTATATAAGGTAATAAAACAAATAGAAAGATCTTTTTAATTTTAGTAAGCCTGATATCAGAAATACGCCATATATGACTTTAACATGTTTGAGCCAAATTTAAAAAAAAACGATCTTATATATTCACAATTAAATATCCTATATTTGACATTAAGGATTATCGACTTCACATTGAGTAAAATACGGTAGAACACACCGTCACGGTAATCTCGTGTCCCCGCGATCACCGCGATGATAAAACCGCGACGGTGTATCGCGGAAAGGATTAAAACACCATCGCGGGGGCGCGGGAAAATACGGGATCCGCGTTGACCGTAGTGTACATGTATTACTGAAGTGACTGGCATTTAACAGGTCGAGACCACTAGATTTTCTGACGTCAGCATAAATTTGCATGTAAATTAGCTATATGTTTACTTTACTGATTGTTGAATGAGTCGCAGTGCATTATGGGCTACTACAAGTATCAATACGAACTCAGTTGTGTTGAAAATGAAGAACAACTTGAATTGTTCCTTGGAAACTTATTTTCAACTCTTTTTTGATATTCATGAAAGAAATATTGAAAATGATGTATAAGTTTCCATTTCTATGCTCACTTTTACAAAATTTGCAATGTGAAGCCTATATATATATATCAACTTGTAATACATCGGCGTAAACCATTGTTCAAAGAGACATGGGAGCTATTGTGTCGATAAAGCATTGAGTGTGTTTTTTCACGTGATACACATGATCATAGTTTTAGACAGCAGTACAAGGTGCGCAATTATTATTTAACTCCTCAATATCATCAAAATGTTTTTATGCACACGCAAACGTCAACGCGTTTGTACGGTATTTGAAGCAACTATTAACCATCTAAAACAATTCAGATATCAAATGTGAGCATGGAACAGTGTCTTTGGCATATAATCTTTCAATTTTAGCATTATAAAGTTAAAAAGAAGCTGTACGGTTTTTCCGGTGACCAACTAAATATTATGCAGTAAACCACAAAAAACCACGTCACTATTGAATCATAAACACGTAGTAGACCGTCATGCTTTTTGACTCGTTCAATTGATTGGAGAATGGGTTTGAAGAAAACATTGTCACGTGTTGAAAAGTGCCTTTCATAAAAGGTAGTGTACCCGACCTGTTTAAGGCCCAAATGCCTCTTGTTTGCCTTATTTTAAACTCTCCTGGTAGAGATGTCACATGCATCATGTCAAAACATGGTTGAAGCTAAATAGTTCCTTATTTCTCCCATTGGATTCAGGCATTTCCATAGGAAACAGGAGCTTATGTTTTTTTGAGATGAAACTCAGCATGTTGCCTTTCGGATTGTACCAGATTTATGAACACAGGAGTCTTGTTGATTTTTTGGTATGTTGTATTTAAGGAGGGATGGTTATAGACCCTTACTTGTGACTTTTAATTGCAAGCACCTGTTCAACTTTGATGATAAGAACTTGCTTGCCTTTCCAGATGACCATTTGTCTTTTGGTACCATTCTAAAATTTTTAGAAAGCATTGTTTGACAAGTTCTGAAAAGGAGTTTTTCGAGAAATTTTGGTTTAAAAGAGGAGCATCTGATTTGTGTATTTTTAGTAATACATATTTTAATACTCAGGTGTGGAACATATTAATCTTATATATGAAGTCAGTAATTTAAAAGAATTTTTCAAAATGCAACTGAATAACAGATTTTTGAAACTCAGAACACAAGCTAGATAATACCAAAACAAAATAATGACAAGTTTACTGAAAAAAAAATTCTATGAAATTCTTTCAAAATATCTAATCTGTAATTGGGAATTACAACCAGATTCTATGATAATACTGTGTAATACTCAGTGGGAGCACTTTTCATAACACAATCCATCTCCTACAAGCACAGGACAAGGTTACATCTGACGTCAGGGAGTTTAATAGCCGCATACAAGCTTCTTGAATGAAAACAGATTCCAACAGAAGTGTATAAAGAATTGAGAATGAAATGATTTTATATTTGCCTGTAAGGAACCTTTGAATGATTGGTTTTCTTGAAGAAGGTATAAAAGTATGGAAACTAAAGGACATGCTGCTTTTTGTGGGGAGAATTATGAGTGATGGTGTGTGTTTTAAGTCGGTGATAAATGGTTTTAAACCTCTCACTGAGGGGGTAATGATGACTTGATAATGCTTTATTAGTTGTTAATGAGGTGGTTAACCACATCTTTCTTCATAAATCTAGTGACCAAGTTCTCCCAGTCGGGATATATGATTATTCTCATTTTACCATTCAGTAAAATAGTTTGTCACTGTCTGTGTGTTTGTTGGTAACCATAATAATGAAATTCATTGGAAAACTTTCTATTGGCAAAATTTAATCTTTGGAATTACATGTAAAATTTTAGTAAGATTCATTTTTAAAGATAGGATTAAGGCCACTGTTGTGAATATTTTGGTCCATGGGCCTCTCATTTTTTTAATATTTATATAGTTGTACATCATTCAAGACATTTTAAACCAAAACCACATCAAGTTTTAAACTAATTAATTAACAATAACCTCAATAAAAACAAACTTTTTTTTTACAGGGAAGTTTTTCCTATTGACATTTTACGTGTAATAAATTCATGTAAACTACAGATTCACAAAAAAAGAGAGAGTTCAAATATTGCATTTTTCCAATATTTTACATTATTTGATATTTTCATTGATACAAATTATTCAGCCAAATACCAGGAGTGTATGTCTTTTAACAGTTTTTAACTTTGGTTTAAATTTTCTGCCCAAACAGGACAAAGACCTTGAAAATTACCAGAATTATAAGGTTAAGAATTTTTGTTTTGCCTTGGACTATAATAATTAAGCTCTGTCAGATTGGATAAAATGTCATTTGCCATCTGAATTTCATTAGATGATTAAAATCAAAATTTTAACTGCAACATTAAGATATCCAGAACTTTTTAATTGTATTTATCTTTTTCTTATATATACTTACATACCAAAAGTTTGGGTCCTCAACGAAACAAAACACCCATTTAGCTTGTTCCATTTATTTTCTACAGAAATGTGTTGGGTTTGCCTCACCTTCTGCAGACTTGAAGAAGCTGACATATTTCTGTAATCAGTCCATAACAAACCTAATAATTAATAATTTCAGATGTAAAAATCAAATGTTTAATGAGAATCCTCTGCATTATTTCATTGTACATAATCTCGTCAAATTAATTGTTTTATGCATGACTGATGAGATTGCACATGAGATTGATAAACAATACCTGCTTTGACATAATTACTTGTAAAACCCAGGATAAATCTCATATGTACATATTTTTTTACTATTTTTAATGACTTGCTGTAGAATGCATATGGCAGTCACTGAATGAACATGTGCGTGTAGTTGCATAGCTGGTAGTACCCCTTTCCTGCAATGGATGCATGGGGTACCTCAAATTATACATGGTTAATAAATAAACATGTCAATATTCATATTGTTCTTAAAATACAGAGAAGCAGTTAACATGATTTTCAAATATATGCTTGTAGGAAAATGCTGAAAAGAGGAAAAAGCAATTTGAACAGATGCTGGACGAGCATGCAGAAATAGTTCAGGAAATTGGAAAAGCGGGGAGCAGGGAGGATTTAGAGGACCAGAGAGACCATTGAACCCTCCCAGCATCTATCCCCACCCCTCAATCAAACCACTGTGGCAATGAACAACTTGGAAGACAGCATGCTATATTAAACACATGTTATTTTTTAAGGGATCACATTTAGTGGTTTTTTGTGATAGAAATGGCCATCTGATATAGAGGCTTCGTCATAGAGGTGATTGTCAAACAAGAAAAAGACCATCATTTGCAGTTATTTGTAAACTTTATTTAGACTCTGTCATTAACTGAGCGGAAAGGAAACTGCCATTAGATATCATCTACTCCATTTTGTCTTCCAGACAACAGTTGCTAGGAGACAGAACACTGTGATAATTTTATCGCCATGATGACAGATTATGTCACCATGGTGACAAGTTGTAATTATTGATATAAACGTCTTTAGTTTTCAACATTCAGAGATGGCCAAGAATCTCATCGGATATTCATTATTAACTTAAGAAAAGTATTTTTGGCCATTGCTTCATTTATGTTGCAGGATGTCTGCAGCGATTCTTAGAAGTCTGTCTTGGGTCTGAATTCATAGAAGTGCAATTTCATCTTTTTGTAAGGAGTTTTTCTGAAATGTTAACAGCTATTATATTCTGTTTGCATTCAATCTGTCGAAACAAAACCATTAAGAAATTCACCAAAAGACAAAAACTATTTTTAGAGTTGATTCTAGCAACCTCAATGGTTTTGTTGTATTAGAATACATTGTGTGCTTACATGTATATAATTATGACTGGTATGTTTGTGTCTTATTTACTAGCATGTTTTAAGCTTAAATCATGTTTTTAACATTAAAAAGGAAACATTTTTCATCCTGTTACACAGAGTGAATGTCTTGTTGATAAGGTGTGAGAGTGTCATTAGTTTTAATAGATGCTCACATTTGTAATTCACAAGATAATTGTGAGCTATTGTTTGCATATGTATAGGGTCCATATATATACTTGAAGAAATTAGAGAAGATAGTTTTTAATCAACAAGGGTATGACTTTTTTTGAAATACATAAAATGTAGATAATTTTGTAATAATACTGAAAATGACTTCAGCTTGACTGTAGATCTTAAGGATATAACACAAACAATTTTTTTTTCTTCCAAAATTCAAATATCTTTGCCTAAATATGTGTCTTTCTAACTAAAGAAGTGATCTCTGTTTACTTAAACAACTTTATGTTAGGCCAAGCCACATAATTTGGTGAAAAGTGGGAAAATGTAACTTTACAGTTCAATATAATTTTTGGAAAGATTTAGAAATATATAAGTTTTGTTACTATGAAGTTGTTGGGAACATCTTCAAGTCTATTTTTACATTTTACACAATTCAAATGTCCTGATTAGATTTCCATTGAAAGAAATATTGAAAAAATAACAATTTAACTCTTTTGTGTGGGAGATGAGAAAATTTGTTTGTGGTATGTATCTTATTGGAATCACATGCATGCAAAAATACATGTATGTACTTCTTTTGTGTTTATAGAAATGTTCTGTCTTTACAGGTATATTGTATTGAGCAAATTTTAGGCAGAATAAAGATGACTTATTTCACTGTAAAATTTAAGGCTATAGTTGTATTGAACAATGTTGCAGCTACATATGTATAAAAAAAATCATGTTGTTATACTCAAACAGCTATGCAGAGGAAAATTCAACAGACAGCTTTTCCATTTCAAATCTCCCCCACAAATTTTTTTCTTACACATAATCTATTGCAATATTAACTTTTGATGACTCGATCTCTTATGAATTTTGCTTGATTCAAATGTAGTTTGCAGAATTTTAATGAAATGAAAGTGCACCATAAATTCAAATATAGATTCAAATATTAAAGGCAAGCTGTAGGATTAATGACTTTGGCCTTGAGATCGTAATACGAAAGAATTGCAATCTTGATGGCGCGACACCTGTTTGTAAAATGTATTGATTTTTTTTAGCCTGTGACCATTAATCATTACAGATTAAATAAAGTTACTTATTATAGATATAATCACCTTCTTAATCTTTTTATTTCCGAGATATAAATTCTATATTATTCTCTATATTGACGTAAAGAAAGCAATGTTTTAGTGGTTTATCCATTCCTGCCAATGAATACATAATGTTACGAATGATCAGGCCAACAGAAGTTCAGCACCAGTAATTATTCTATGGATTGTCTGTTCACCTATTCAGTATGTGTCAACTGTTTCATTAACTTACATGTTTATCTGTTCTGGGTAATTTAATTGTTCATATATACAGTTGAACTTAAGTATCTCAAACACAGATATCTTGAATACCATGGATGTGTCAAAGTGATTTAGAAATCCCAATCCCTAATTCTTTAAGTATTTTAACCTTGATATCTCGAAACCCTCGGATATCTCGAAGTTTTTTCTTGGTCCCATCAAGTTCAAGATAATGAGGTTTGACTGTATTATGGTCTTCATACTTCATACATAGATAAATCAGGCCTGACTATAACCTGAGAAACTGACTTCAGTCAATATTTCAGATTTGTATCAATTTGAAAAATACTTTTCTTACAGCCTTTGAAATAATTTTGAAAAATAAAACAAAATTTTCATCATATGTTTGTATTTGATTATTACACAAATTTTTAGAAAAATATTTGTTGACTAAAAATCAGGATATTCAAAATTTAAATTGTGACTTAAATCCATTCTCAGTTTAATATGCTCTTGGGGCCAGGTTGTAATGCTTAAAAGTATCATGGGTAGACTTGATCTAGGCCTAATTGACATTAGTAAATGAAACATCCATCTCTATTTTGGGATGATGAATGCGGCTCATTTTCAAATTTTACATGTTAATCTGAATGACACTTTTCAAATAGTACTATGTGAGTTGACCTTGACCTATGTAGGGTTAGAAACTCCCTAAAATTACAACTCGCAAATAATTGCAAGTACCAAGAAAGTGAACTCGCAATTTTATAAGACTACTCGCAATTTCAATATTTATAAAGTTAAATTTATATGAATTAAATACATGTAACTTAAGGAAAAAGTAACTACTGTACAATACACAAAATACAACTACAGTGTGACTTATTTAAATTACTGATTTAAATCAAAAGCATTGTGTTCTGTCATATTATATAATTTTGCTACAGTTTCAATGCAAAAAAAAAATCAACTCGCAAGTTTTTGCGAGTTACCTAATTTTTAACTCGCAATTTGGGAATTCTAACTCGCGTTTTGCGAGTTGTATATAGTGAATTTCCAACCCTGCTATGAACTTGAAATTATTAAATGAAACATTTGTGAATTCTTTGTCATCTGACAAGACCATCTTTAGCAGTTTCTTATCATTTTATGTTTTATAGTTACAATGAATTCAATGGCTTACGTATATGTAAGTCTATTTAAAAGCAGTTGACAGTGTAAAAACACAAAGAAAGAATGACACAGTGATATCTTGTAAACGATGAATTCAATGTCTTTAATTTTCAGTTTAGTATCAAAATAATCTGCTGGATGAAATGGTAAATAGACATTAAGACTTGATCCTCACAGTGAAAACATGCAGAAAACAACAAAAGAAAGAAATATAGCAGTATGTATTACAGAATCCTAATACAAAGAGAAAAATTAATCAACAAGAATTCTCATAAACCAAGTCAAACATAATCTTCCAAAACAAAAACACCCCACCCCCACCCACACACAACAAACAAACAAAATTCAAAATTTCAAAAATATGAAGCTTAAGGGCCATAACTCTGATTTTAGGCTAGTGATGCCTAAAAATTCAATAAAAGATATATGAATAAAACTCTTTATTACATTTTCAACAGTGAAATACTGTGATTTATTTATTGAATAAAAGTGATATTCTCTCACAGTATGAAAGTATACCAAAATGATATTCTCTCACAGTGTGAAAGGATATCAAAGTAAGTAAAAAATAATTTCTGGCCTGTCATAAGATAGAGATAGTAACTAAGCATCTTGATAGAGCTAAAACTGCAAATTTCTTCCCAAATATGTTGCTAAAATCCATGATATGTAATGTTTTCAATCACACAACTGCTAAGCTACGATCGACGTCTCAACCACTCAACTATGACGTCAAGCCTATGACACTGTGTTAAGAAAAGACAGAGGCAAAGGGAAAATCAAAGAAAATGTAATAAACAGAAAATTCAATGTTTTGTAGATGAATATGGAATTTATTTCACTCGTGAGACAGGATTTTTTGATATTTTCACTCGTGCTTCGCACTCGTGAAAATATCAAAAAATCCTGTCCCACTTGTGAAATAAATTCCATATTCATCTACAAAACATTGAATATCCTCTATATATATATATAATGGATACATGTAAATTTCAATGAAGTAGACTTCTGACAAAAACAAGCAAAGAGGTTTTCATAAAAAGAATATAACAGTGAGAGATAAAATAAAAATGCATATAAAAGGGGGAAAAAATCACAAAGAAAATGTTATGATGCTCAGGATAAAAATATAATATAAGAGACCTGGATTTGTATCCCTGATAGAACTTTAGGTGTCAATTTATTCTGACACATCAACAAATGAAAGAAAAAACATCATAATCAAAAATTGTTAATCAATACTTTATACTACATTTCAGTACTGGTTTATTCAACCAATACAAAGTAGTAGAACACAACATTATCCTTTGATAAACCAAATATACAGATATCTTATTGTTACCTAATTTTAGAATTAAAGATATCTTGGACAGCAGAAAACTTTAATTACAGAAAAATCTTATGGTATTTAATTTTTATTGGAAAATATATGATCAAAATATTAAGATGATCAAATCTCAATGCAACATGCATATACAAATGTACAGAAGAACTTTATATTTATTATTTTATACATAATGTATGGGATGATGATCTCTGCACCCTTTCTATGTACTATTTTTTTCAACTCCAAAATTAATAATATATATATAAGATACATAATGTAGCATGAGATGTCTTTATAGATACTGATATCAGAGAAGCTAACATTCCTCAATGAATTAAAATACACCTGAGACATTTAAGTCACTTTTAGTTTGAGATCATACTATAATAAGTACAAATTAATTCAGTCAATATATAAAAGGATAATTTGAAAACTAAATATTAATTAAAAGCACCATTAAAAAAAACACTACTGAATTAGGTGACTTTTTTTCATAAAATCTTCATAATTGAATTAAATCAATTATCAGAATAAATTTCACATAATTTTGTTAACAATTATTTTTGTCTTCAATAATGTACACACACATACAGACAAAAAATATGATAAAACATGTCATAAAATCAACCATGAAAACAAGTGTGCCTGTTGATGCTGCATAAAGGGGGACAACTGTTACTGTGAAATGAAAATCACATGAACAACTTGACAGTACTCTTATCATAATGTTCAAGGTGGCTGATCACTGCGAGCTGTGAGCATTCTTCCATCCATTTATGACAGCAAAGTGATTTGTTCTGTAATTAACACTTGATCTTTTTATATGTCAACTGTATGTCTTCACATGCCGGAAATGTCCCTGTGTAAAAAAAGACTTTAATTAGAACATGAGAAACAGAAAATAAATGTCATCCATTCCTGAAAGCAAATCTAAAGAAGAGTAAAAAATGTTTTTCTTGTGATATGTTAATAGATTCAGAAAATTTCTTTACCGGTTCCCCTGCTAAGCATCTCATACACTCTGATTGGTGGTTGTTGTTGTTGAGGCCCTGTAGAGGGAAACTGTTGATGGGAAAGTTGAGTTTATTGCCCCCTGTGTGTGGCTTCTGAGATTCTGCCTGCAATATAAGCATAATAATATCTTTGTAATTCCAATGGCAACTTGGCTAATTTGATAACATAAATAGGCCTAACATAAAAAAAAACAGACTTTCATAAATTTCACATTTCTTCACTATCTTTCAACAAATCCATAAAAATCTTGTATGTTTTAATTCCAGTACAGTAAAAATAAATGTACTTTAAATTCTTATCACAATGCAGATACATATCACAGAAAGGGAGGAAAGCTCCTACTTTTCATTCATTTTTAGAGAGAGATTGCACTTCTTTATAACTCAAGGTTCATCATTTCCATCACCAACTCTGTTCTATACAGAGATAAAGAATTTTATCCCTGGTGCATAGTCTCCATTATTTAACCCCTTCAATTTTTAGAGAAGTTGTTTCAATCAACCACTACCATTCTAAACAGTGATAAAGGATTTTACCTGAGGTGTGTAGGTTGCATCCATGACTTCCATTCTCTCTATCATCTGAGGTTCCTTTTGTGTTAAAAGATGTAATATCTGCTGCTCATCTAGAATATACATGCATGGCTTCTTCTGTAAAACAAAAAGAGAACGGTAAAAAATGTTTAAACATGTTTATAATACAGTCAAACCTCGTTATCTTGAACTCGATGGGACAGAGAAAAAACTTTGAGATATGTGAGGATTCAAAATATCAAAGGTAAAATACTTAAAGAATAAGTATAGTTGGGACTTTCAAATCACTTTGACATATCCATGGTATTTGAGATACAAGTGTTCGAGATACTGAAATTCAACTGTATATTCATAATGTGAAAAGCAAGCAGATGACTCTTTTGCTGCTAGATCATGTCCAAGAGTTCAACCAGGTATGAATCCTGCTCTAGTACATTGAATTTCTTCCTTTACTGAGATTTTACTGGTTCTTTCACATTTTTTCAATATTATTTTGGGTACAGTTGGTATCAGGTTCGTTTGCCCCATCTACCTTTTCGCATGAGTCTGTTCGCGCAGGGTCCGTTCACCATTATTCTTGTTCGCCATATATCTCATTCGCCATATATCTCGTTCGCCCTAATATATATACAATATATAGTAAATATTAACATTTATTATTAATTTATTCAATATTTTATGATTTGGTGTTTTTTTTCAAATGTTGCTACAATATTTTTTTTTATTTACCGCAATCTTAATTAAACAATTCAAATTTGATATTAATGCTTTTTACATGCTTACATCTGTAACTCGTTTAATCATACTTATAATAATAATGTCACTATAATTTAAGGGATCACATCCATGTTTTTTTTTACAATCTGCGTTATGTTTTGAAAACAATTAAAGGACGGAGACATTCATTTCTGTTGGTCTTTCGGGTCTTTGATAGGAGAGGTAGTGTGACCACATGCATACTTCTGTCGTCTCCCGTATGCAATTTATGTACAAATGTACATATAATTTATTTAAAAAATCCTTTGGTTCATTATGCAACTTTCTGCAATATAAATAAGACGAACAAACCCGTGCGAACAAGTTTTAGGGCGATCTGACTCTGGGCGAACGAGAATTAGGGCGAAGGGCGAACAAATTTTAGGGGCGAACGAACATACAACTATTATTTTGTATTTACTTCCTTATCATGCCTTATTAAATTTTGAAGTAAAGATCGAACACGTACCTAATTTAAATTAAATCCCAGTTGTAAAAGTTCTTGCGCAAGGGAATTCTTCCTGGAGTGTATATTATATCTTTTTTATAAAAAGATCTTAAACTCAGATTAGGTAATTTTGAAAATAATATTTTTATTAATATTTTTTGTTTCACTTATTAGCGCTTATGTATAGGCCTAACAATATGTACGGGACTTCTCACATAGGATTAATCTTACCTGGACAGACCCGTCAATGTCTTCAATGCTAAATTTGCGTTTAGTAGACATGCCTCGTAAATTTAAGTTATTGATTTAATAAAAATACAATAGCATTTTAGAAGATTTGGTCAATTTAAAATTTCAGCGTGGGTTTTCAGACTTTCTCTTTCTGTTTGTAAATATTTTTCTAAAATACAAGTCCAACAAAACTCGCATTTCCGGATTTATTTTGGAATGCTTTTCTTCATATCATATTTTAAACTGCTTTCTCGAATCATTATTCTTTCACTAATGATAATGCTTATGTCAATTTTTAATGATTTTTTCATGAAATGAAAACGCAAAATGAAATAGTGAAATAGCAACTTTCGAATTTGTTATGGAACGAAATGACTATTTTCTATTCACGTTCGAGTTATCTCAGTTTTCACTCATGGACTAAGCAACGAACAAACGGTGATTGAATTTGTATTCCTCATGTGAATTGCTTTTAGATTTTTTTGTGATGACTGTCAACAGAAAAAATTAATGATTAAAACCGAGAACACAAGTATACAATCATTATACATGCATTTAAACACACTGTATAGAGAACAGGAGAATGTAAAGCTCACTGTACAGCTGCTATAGACTGATAGGTTCATGATGTAAGCAACCAATAACAGGCATTCATATTTTGTAAGGATAATTTCAGCGACGTATGGAAAGCCTACAGCTTAAAACATGTTTGTCTCCAAAAGTTCATTTTTTAATCACAAAAGTTGGCAGAAGTAGAAATGAAGCGAAAGGTGCGAGGGCAACTAGCATAACGCCAGACGGTTTCATCATTTGGGATGAAGCTTGCATTTGTCTACCAGGTTAGTTATACACAACAGAAAGAAGAAAATTATGTCTGAATCAGGAATCAAACTTGGAACACCTGGATTACCAGTCAGGCGCATGCTATTATAATAGAAAGAATAATATATATTATTGTAAATAATGTAAACATTGTAAGATGGAAGTCAAAATTGGACTTGAATCCAGGTCCTCCTCTTCAACAATAAATTCTATTCAAGCACTATAGATCAAAACTTCTGATCAAGCCAAGAAGAGCACATAATTCTATTGACTTACCCTCAATAAGCTAGCTGCTCCGGGGTTGGCAAAACATTTCAGACATGGGAGAAGGAGCCCCTACCACTAATTGTGTGGATGTCCTAACACCTAAATAACTCCTGGTAAAAAGAACATAAAAAGTTTTTGGAAGTGTATCTCCTCAAAAAAAAAATATTTTGCTCATTTTTATCAGATTATCTGGGAAAAGAATTGTCAATGAAATGTTGAGATCTCAAGAAACACAACTTTTGAAATAAAATGAAATTGTGGTGATCATACAATTCCAATTGCCTGTGGCCAGATAGCTCAGTTGATGGAGCACCTGTATGGAGTAGAGGGGACCCAGGTTTAAATCTTGGTCTGGTCTATTGTATTTTCTTCTTTTCTATTTGTCGCCCGCGTGGCACAGTGGTTAGAGCTTCTGCTCTAGAGTCGCAAAGTAAGGAGTTGATCCTTACGTTGAGGGCTTGAATCCCACTGTGGGATGTGGAGACCGGTCCTTCAGTTGAGACCGTATAAACCGAGGCCCCGTGTCACAGTAGGTGCTGGCACGAAAAAGACCCCTCACTGCTCAATGGCCGTAAGTGCCAAGTATATGACAAAATTTGCAGCTCTCCACCGGCCAGTGGTGGCATCTCCATATGAGTGAAAAATTCTCGAGAGGGACGTTGAACAACATACAATCAATCAATCAATCTTTCCTATTCCATTTGGTGTCATTGACCTTCCACAGACTTGCGGGTGAAAGTCCTGCCAGAGGCAAAAGAATGTAGGTTGTGTGTCTTTATAGCAAACATATTTTAATGGGGTGGTGTGTGCGGTTTAACAGGTTGATTGCCTGTGACTAGCTCAGTTGGTAGAACACTTGACTTGAGCTGAAGGGGCCAAGGTTCAAATCCTAGTCTGGTCCATCACATTCTCTCTCTCTCTCTCCCCCCCCCCCCCCCCCCCCCCCCCCCCCCCCCGGATTCTTGGCTGTACATACTTGTTCACTCTAATTACAGCACTGTATAAAATTGTAAGCAAATTCACATGGATTTCACATGGAAAAATCTTTTTTGAATTAAAATCTTAGTTATACTCATTACAGAAACATCACCTTCAGATGAGTATGATTACTTCATGGCTTGTGTCCAGTCTCTGTCACCTGTGTTCTTTGAAGCAGAAGAAATACTGCTCTCTAATCACTGGCAGGAGATCTGGATCAAACATAAACCACACCTCAGCTGGATACCAGAGGATCATCAACAGGTCTGGTTTGAACATATTGTAACATAATCTTTTAATTACAAAGGGATTGGGCACACAAGTTCTAAAAACTTAATATGCTTTCTCCCTAATCATAAGGTAATGCTGATTTTTTTTTATTAATCATGTAGATGATGGATTTTCCTGAACTTTGATTTTTAGCTCACCTCAACGAAGTTGGGGGAGCTTATGTAATACCCTCAGCTTCGGTGTCAGAATCCCAGGTTAAAGTTTTTGGAGCACATTTCTTTTCAAGTACTTCTATGCCCTATATCAATCAGAGGTGCAAGGAGAATGCCTCTAGTGTGTTTCATTGTACCAGTCAAGGTTTCAGATGCTGCAATTTTAGCTAAAGAATGACCAGTTTAACGTTTTTGGAGCAGGTTAGAGTTTTTGGAGCAGGTTAAAATTTTTGGTGGGGCAGGTTAAAATTTTTGGTGGAGCAGGTTAAAATTTTTGGAGCAGATCCTGTTTCCAAGTAACTATAAGTCCTATGTTGACCAAACTTGAATGGATGATACATCTAAGGATGCACACTACCAGGCTTGCTTCGGATGCTGGATCTGACCTACATTTTCCAAATGAGTGACCAGGTTAAAGTTTTTGGAGCATATCTCATTTCCAAGTAACTATAAGTCCTATGTTGACCAAACTTGCAAGGATGATACATCTAAGGATGCACACTACTGGACTTGCTTCAGGTGCTGGATCTGATCTACATTTTCTGGATGAGTGACCAGGTAAAAGTTTTGGAGCAGGTCCATTGCAAGAAACTGTAAGGCCTATCTGAACCAAACTTCCATGGATGATGCATCAAGGGATGGACACTTTCAAACTTGCTTCAGATGCTGAATTAGACCTACATTTTCAGGATGAGTGACTACTTCAAAGTTTTTAGATAAGTCTATTCCCAAGTAACTGTAAGTGCTATCTGACCAAAATTGCATAAATGTTGCATCTAGGGATGCACACTACCAGATTTTTAGTTTAGTGTGGGACTTTACCTTACTTAAAGACAACATTTGTTGAGGTGAGCTCTGTAATCACTAACTTATGTTTATTTGTCAATACATATTGTTTAGAATTACAGTAAAACTTGCCTAATCCAGCCACCACTGGTTCTATAGAAATTGGCTGGACTAGACAAACATAGAAAACTTTCTTGATTAGACAACATTTTGAACAATTGAAATTACTGAAAGGGACTTTAAGTTTACATTGCACATGTATTAGGCAAGATTTCAGAATATACAACATCCAGAATAGACAATTTTCACTGTACATGTATATAGAAATATTAATGAAAATCACCTGCTAGCTACATATTTACAATTTCTGGAGAGATTTAATATTATGACATTCAAACTGCCATCTGATAACAATACTATACGTGTACAGAAATTGACTTATTCAAAATTTAGCGCAATCACTGGGTATGGAGTTGTTGGTGTAATCATGATCGAATTAGTGCTACACATGTCTGTGCCGTGTATTGTATTTATAAATGATTTCTTAGCGGTATATATGTTCATGAATTAGTGCATTGTTGTCTGCGCCAAAGCCGCTAAAATATAAAGCCCGCTTTTTAAAGTACACATACAGTATATGTGCATATTATAAATGATTTCTTAGCGGTATTCATGAATAAGCGCATCATTGTCTGTGCCAAAGCTGCTAAAATATAAAGCCCCCATTTTTAAGTACACATACAGTATTTTTGATTTTCCTTGGTAGTTAGCGTGCAGGACAGATGTAATGAAAGTACTAGTTGTTGTTTTTTTATTAATTAATTTTTTTTTTAAAAATTTTGACAAATGTATATATATGATTTTTTCAGGCTGTAGAAGATTCACTTAAGTATTTAACATCTACAAATGAATCACACCACATCCTGGGTTTACAGTTGGTTTGCTCTGTTCTGGAGAGAGCGCTAGGTGATGTAAGTATAGCTCAAGTTGTCATAGGATCTCAATTTTTCAAAATTGCAGAATTTCAACAAAGGCTTTATAATTTCCCTGTGTATATGATATCTCTCATTTTGGACAAGCAACACTGCTTGCTGTGTGAAGTTTGGTTATTATTTGATGTATAAAATGTTAAGCTTTGTTCTGTATTTTGATATTTTCCTGTGTTAATATTTATCAGACTAAGGTCATTACCAACATCACAGAGGTAAACTTGTTTGCAACAGTTATTTCAAATATATAACTTGTTAACGTATTGCTGCATGATTCATTAATCAAAATATTAGTATTTCTGAGAATCCCACATCCTTGTGAGTTTGTTTTTCATACCTAGCCCATGTCTTCTTATACATTCATAAACTTAAAGGTTCATGATTTGATGATTGTTAAGTGTATCGGCAAAATTGGATTTCTAAAAGTATCATCGCTCTTGATTCCTCAAAAAAAAGTATTTGATGGAATAAAGTTTGATTTTCAATACAGCTAGAATCCAGAACCATAATGATTGGATGATGAACAGCAAATTTTTTTTACTGTTTGGAGGAAATCATCCTGTCTGAGCGTAAATTAAGTATTTTGTATGGCTCAGAGGAACATGAGAGGGGGATAAGGGGGCAGGAGGCACAAAATCTTAATGTTTTTAATCCCTAACCCCCCCCCCCCCTTTAGAATATTGTATTATCACATTCCCGAGATGGCGATATTATATAATGAAAGACTTCTTCCAGTTCCTCTAGAAGAAACCATCTTTCCATAAAAAATCTACCTATTCATTTAAAACTTGTAAATTCTTTTGCTCATTTTTATAGGTTTTTGAGTATGTAAGTTCCCTGCACTGTCCCTCTCTCCTCAAAGACATTCTGAATTCAGGGGAAATAACTCAGGTGTTTGGAAGAAATGTGGTAAGTGCAGATATTTATTTTAATTATATATATACTTTTAAATATGGATATATTAAGTATAAATTAACAGATAAGAAATTACAATTACACTTGCTCTATTCAATTAAATTTGATACAAATAAAATTCACTTTTTAACAAATACTCTCTTATTTTATTTATCTTATCTGCCATTGGATATTTGTATTGACAAATTGAAATTCTTAAATGCATTCATCATCATGTCCAAAATAACAACTTCATAAATATGACATAAGTGGGCAAATAATTTTGATGCTGGCCCAATGGCAATCTAGGCATTGTTTAGTCAGTCCAATATCAAAACTGTGTGTCACCGAGTCTTTTGTAGGAATACATTTCCAACACAGAGTTCAACTTTGTGCAATATTAATTCATTTTGTGCCTCATATTATCATAATAAAATACATACATAAGGCAATTACTTTACATTTGACAAATATATTACATGATTGTTAGTGGGTCAAATTATGCTCTATATATATTAATTAATAAGATTAAGATAACATTTATATTGCTCTATGTATTAATTAATAAGAATAAGATAACATTTATATACATGTAACTGTTATATATAACATCATCACTGTTGATAAAATATGAAATAAAATAACATTTAAAATAAAATAACATATATATTTGTTAACATTTACTTTTGTTTACATATAAACAAAAGTACATGTTTACATGTACTAACTGAATATTTCATAATCAAGTCTCTGTATTGATAATGTCAGTCCAATCATATCCATCCTTCTGTCCATTTGCATTAAGTTTTGTTTTGCTGTTGGCTATAGGTCTCTTTAATTTTCACATGTGACCTTTGACCTTGACATGGTGAATGAAAAACATCTACCGGTATCTTATCAATTAAGATTACTGTATACAGGGTAATTTTTGCCCCATGTTATTTTCGCCCTTTCACACTTGCGAACAATTTTGCCCCGTTTAAAATTCGCCCAGTCACAGTTTTGTTTATGAAATTATACTGTGTACTTTGAATTCACCCTGTTGTAAATTCCCCACCTGTGATTACTAATCATTAGGGTGAAAGGGGGAAAATTTCCCTGTATACAGTATACTTATAAGTATTTCCTACCATTTGTATCAAAATTCACTCTTCAGTCTCAAAGTATATAGTGACATAGATGTTAATAATTAACTCCTTTCACACAGGATATCTTTATTTAAAATCACCACATTAATTATCAGCTTCAAATTAGTGAATAATACCTAGACATATACCTACTGTAACCCTCTATATGGGGATTTTCCTGTGAATTTCACAGAAACTTAACACATCTTCCATAGTTTTGTTATTCCTGACCTGATTCTTAGGGTCAGCAATAAAGGCAAAAATAGGTAAAAATGTGAAGAAAAAAAATAAAGTAAAAACTTATTATCTAATTCAAAGTGTTCAAACAGACCAATTCATCTGCTAGGAATTATTTGAAAATGCTACTACTTCCTTAGGATTTGACTGGTTGGATTACTTACTTGTACCGGTAGAGAGGTGTAATCATAGATGTACAAACTACTGTAGATACCTTATTATGTTCCCCAAACGAAGTTTGGGAACATATTGTTTTTACTCTGTTTCTTATTATTATTATTAAGGTCTTCCGTTTCAGACGGAAGACCTTATAGTGATTCTACTGTTTATTATTATTATTATTTTTTTCTCGTTTTTTGTCCAAGCGATTTCTCAGAGATGGCTCGACGGATTTTCTTGAAACTTTCAGGGATTATGACAAATAAAATAAACTAAAAACATTTTCAAGGATTTTGCAAAATTCACTTCCGGTCGTCAGATATGTCCAATTTCCGTTTTTTCAAAAGAGATCATGTCCGGACGATATCTCAGAAACGGTAAAAGATTAAGACCTCAAACTTTCAGGGATTATTGATCATGACAAGTACGTTTGCAGAATATGTTTAAATCCGTCAGCCGTTACTTCCGGTCGTCACAGGAGGAGATCAAAGAAATCGAAAATTTCAACTTTTCTTATTTTAATTAAATCTTGCATCACATTATTGTGTCCGTTTTACAGTTTCGAAATATGTTAGTCCCATTGGAAACAGAAACGTCAACTTCCGGTTATAAGAGAAAAACTACATAATTTGAGTATTTTCCAATAAATATCGCTTATAGATGAAGTATTTGAAATGATTTTAAGATATGTTATTTAGACTGCAAATGTCTAGAGTAACGTCAAATATCTTAATAAAATTCACTTCCGGTCGCGTGTTTTACTGTCCGCAAAATAAGAACTTGTCAAAGTGAGATCTCAGAAACGGTAAGAGATTAAGACACCAAACTTATATGAGTAATAGAACTTAATGAGTAGGCAAAACTTTTTGGGTTAATAGCGTCAGCCGTCACTTCCGGTCGTTACAGGAAGTGATAAAAGAAATCGAAAATTTAAACTTTTCACTTTTGAAATAAAACTTGCATCATATAATTGAATCTCTTTCACAGTTTCTATATGTGTTGGTCTCACTGGAAACAAAAAACGACACTTTCCGATTATAAAAGAGAAACTATGTTATTGGGATTTTTAACATTCCCAAAAAATTTCACTTATTGATAAAGTTTTTGAAATGATTTTTACATATGTTATTGAGACTGCAATTGTCTAGTGTGAAGTCAACTATCCTAAGAAAATGCACTTCCGGTCGCGTGTTTTTCTGTCCTCAAGTTGAGATTCTGTTCACCTAAATGCTCAAAAACACTACATGACTGAAGTCAAAAACTTTCAGAACTTACAGTTTGTTACCAGTTTATTTACATCATGTAAAAATCGTACGTTGTCGTCACTTCCGGTCGTGACAGGAAGCGATGCAAAAAAGTGAATTTTTAAAGTTTTTTTTTTGGCAGAAATGTTTGGCTAATGCAGATGTTAGATAGACCATGACTATGCAAATTATTTTTATACATTTTATTCGTTTGGAGCACTTTCGTTCATGACGAAGTACATAAAGAAGTCAAGAAAACGGAAGACCTGTTATTGCCTAGGCAATAAGTATCTAGTTATTATTATTTTTCTTTTTTTCTACTTTCTTCTCCGGTACTTTTTTGTCCGGGAGTGTTCTCATAGAACCACTCATCCGATTGACATGAAACCTTTTTAGGGTTAATAGGCATGTTGTGTAGGTGTTCGGAACGAAGGTCATTTTGCGCGCACATGCATGCACGTGCGCGCGCGTGCAATGAGTGAAATGACTGATATACTTGATGAAGCCGTAACTTTTATATTTCTTGATGAATTGCTTTGAAACTCAAAATATAAAGATATATTAGTAGTCTAGACAAGATGACATGGTCAAATTAGCGTGAACTCACGCGCATGCACGTGCGCTCTTCTCTGATTGGCTGATACAAAAATCTCAATAATTTCCTTGTTTTTTGGCAAAATACTTTGAAATTTAGAATATAAGTATATATTATAAGGTACTTCAACATGTTATATAGGAAATTTCTTGAAAACATGTGCATGCAGGTGTGCTGCAATCTGATTGGTTGAAACTTTAAATGTCTATAACTCCCTTGGTTTTCAACAAACCAGGATGAAATTTATGACATGAATAGGCACATAGAACTCCTACATTATGATACTATCAAAATTGAATGCAAGGCCATGCATGCGCGTATGCTGAATTCTGATTGGCTAATACTTAAATGGTCACATCTCTCTTATTTATCAATGAAATTCTTTAATATTTAAAACAAATGTATGTATTGTGAGACACTATAAGAAAATAAATGTGAAAAATGTAGAAAACATGTGCAAGCACATGCACTGAAATTTGATTGGCTAATACCCAAATGGCTATATCGGAGTAGTTTTCCAATAAAATACCCTTAAAAATAAAGTGTCCATCTATATTACAAAAGTATTGTATAATTTATTGAAGCTTGTAGGGAATGGGGCATCATAAGGGATTGGGGAGCCGTTTGGGGAACATCTGTAACGGTTCCCATTACAATTAACACTAGTTTTACCTGAGTATTCAATTTCGCGAAATTGCTCTAGGTCATCAAATCACGAGAACAATAATTTGCAAGTGGAGGATCGGCTTAGAAACTTTACATACATTTTAAAGCACCATAAAAATAAGTAATTTTACTTCGCGACTGGTATTTCCAGTGAAATTATGCGATAATTTATTCCTTGTGTATATTTAGGAATCTACAGTATTAAAGCTACAGTCTCAGCAGAGATCTTGTTAAAGGCAGGCATTTTCTTGAAATGCAAAAATATAAAATGCCTTTTAATAGAGCATCATTGGAGTAATTTTCCCTACACTAAGTTCAGCCATTGTTTATTGTTGTACTGCAGTTTAATTCTAGCTTAATTAGCAGTCAATTAGAGAATGTTGCATTTCTGCCTAAAACCAAGATAATGAACAGTATATTCATGCAGTGAAAAGTTGTAGAAGTGATCAAGACAAATTGGTAAATTTCACATAAAAAAAAAATTTCATGAAAAAATTTAAAGAGTTGTATTAATGTCATTGCTGATAATACCGTATTTACAAGCAGTTAGCTGTCGAAATGTACAAATGAACCTGGTAATTTGTACACTATACAGCTGAACTTCGGTATCTTGAACATGGATATCTGGAATACCATGGATATGTCGAAGTGATTTGGTGGTCCAAAGCACTTTTTCTTTTTAGTATTTTACCCTCAATATCTCAAACCCTGATATCTCGAATTTTTTTCTTGATCCCATCAAGTTCAAGATAACGAGGTTTGACTGTATTTGGAATTACTGTGATTGTTAGTAAAACAGTGTATTACTTGAATTTGGAATTATTTTGATTATTGGAATTTGGGGTTTTCAAGAAAAAAGCCCTTAGTCAGACTAACTTAGACAACTAACAAGAATTTCCATTTCTTTTTGTGTTAGTCTTAACTAACTTAGTTAACTAACAATAATTTTTCTAATAAATGTTGGGTTAGTCTTAACTAACTTAGCCA